CAGAGGTGGGTAGAGTAGCCAAATATTGTACTCAAGTAAGAGTACTGATACTTGAGAACAATATTACTCAAGTAAAAGTAAAAAGTAGTCATCCAAATAATTACTTGTGTAAGAGTAAAAGAGTATTTGGTGAAAAAACTATTATATATACTGTACACACACATATATTTATATATATATATATATATATATATATATATATATACACAAATATACACACATATGTATGTATATATATATATATATATATATATATATCTTTTTTTTTTTCAGAAATTTCGACATTTTAATATTTTTCCAGACATTTTATTAAATAATTTTTTAACGTGAATAATATATTTTTAAACATTTTATTAACATTTTTCTGGACATTCTATCAACATTTTTTGGACTTTCGATAATATTTTTCTGATATTTTATGAACTTTTTTGGGATATTTTCCAACATTTTATTGATTTTTATCAAATGTGAATAAATGCTAACAGCCTGTTTGGACCCTGCTAAATGCTGATTGTAGATTTATTTGAAGATAGATGAAAGTATGTTTGTAAAATGTGCAGCGTCTTTAAGTGCATCTTGATGATGTCACCACGTACAGCCAGTGGCACTGATGACATCATGTGATTATTACATTAAGTTCATTGTTAGTAGATACACTGAAGTTATCACACCTTCAATCCAGTAATTATATTATTATATTATTTTAGTCCATAGATCATTGTAGTCCATACATCATTGTAGTCCACAGATCACTGTAATCCATAGATCACATGCTCTCTGCTCAGTAACATCACACCGACACCGCTTACGTGGCTCCAGCAAAGCCCCGCCCCTCACCGCAGAACTCGCCTTCCGATTGGTCCAAATTGATTTTTACCCGTCTCTTAGCCCAGCCCCTGTATGCATCGTAAAGACGTCATGACGCAGGGACACGGAAGTGGTGTCAGAGCTGAGAGTCGGACGGTGGACGGACCTTCTTCCTTCTGGATTTCTGTTGTTTTATTTTTTCGCGGGTTTTAAGTTTCGTGTTTCGGAGCCGAAACGGAGAAGAAGAAGTAGAAGAATAACCGGAAGACTTCCAGGTGAGCTCGCGATCTGTTTCTGTTTATTAATATGTGTGTGTGTGTGTGTGTGTGTGTGTGTGTGTGTGTGTGTGTGTGACCTCTGCTGATACACACTAGCACACTGTTTGCCACCGTACGAAACTCCTTAGAGAAGTGTCACGGTTTAAGACTTTAAAGCGCGTAACAAAGAACACGCGCCTGCGAGGTTCGAACCTGTGGCAGTTTCAGGACGAGGCGGGTCCTGTAGTGAATTCGGCTCGTCCTGAGTTCACCTGTCGAGTCCCCATTCCCACAAACCCTCACCTGGTGTGACCTGACCGACATTCATCTCCGCCGCCTTCTCCGCGAGCTGCACTGGGACAAACTGGGAGGATTTTAAATGGGATCTGGTTCGGAAGGAATTTTATAGTGACCGGATGCTCGTGCGTTGGCATGGCGGCTGAGGAGCTAAAGTGCCACGTGCACGAGCCCGGCAGCAGAAACAGGTCCGGTCAGGTGTGAGAGCTGGCATCATGTTGTGAACTGAGACTGAGGATGACAACAGTGAAGACAGTGTGAGACAACATGTCCAATAAAAACACAGGTTTGTTTTACCAGCAGGTGTGAGACACAATAGGAGCCTTCATACAGAGACACACAGAGACAGAGACACACAGACAGAGACAGAGACACACAGACAGAGACAGAGACAGAGACACACAGACAGAGACAGAGACA